CATAAAATGACGATTTTATGATAAGTGCAGAAAGTGATGCCTCACACAGCAACCTGGGATCACAAAGGAGGAGGTAACTAACTCCTCTGGCAAACCAGAGAAGCCTTCAAAGGGGCTGGTGGTCAGACTGGATCAGATGGGTTACCGCTTTGGGCAGTGTTGAGAAACCTTTAGACTGGAAGTTTCATAAAGTCTGCAGTTTTATAAAAACTAGAGAATAGTCAGCAAAGTCCAATTTGCCCTATCATGTAACCAAGATGCACTAAAAACTAGAAGTGTGCGGTAGAAACACACATATATGTACCGCACGGAAGAAGGGCTTTAAACTCCAAGCTGGCGGGCTACAAGCCTGTATCCCCCAAGAGGATGGGGGATTGGGGACATGCCTCTCAGGGACTCATCTAGTCCAAGCCCAGGTCTGGAGGATGAAACAGAGGTCATTTACTAGTTTGCAGGCCAAGAAGTTGACGTTCCTGATCCTGAGATCTTTTTTAAACTCTTGAGTAGGTACCCATTTCATCAACATTGCAGATTTAGTTCAGGATGGGGTGAAGGCTTTACATATGTCTGAGCACTGCATGGACTTGCACAGGCCCTAAAATAGTTGGCACTATTTTAGGTTTAAGAAATATAGAATAAACACAACAGACAATAAAAACATGGGGTATGACATACAGTGCTATGGAAAAATATAGCAGGAAAGGGCTGAGATGGAGAGCAATTTTAAACAGGAGGCCAGGTAAGATCTCAATAAAAAGATGGCATTGAAGTAATTACCCACTGAAGGGGAGGGGATGCGCCATGGGGTTACCTAAGAGAAAGACAGCTCTGAGCAGACAGAACAGGGTGTGTACATGACAGGTTCCTGGGCCAGCAGTGTGGCCAGGACAGGGTGGAGTAGGCAAACAGGAGGATCCTGAGAAAGAGGTCCGGGGAGCACAGGCAAGAGCGGGGAGGACCCTGCGGGCCACTGTAACTATACTCACTCTGAGTGAAATAGGAGCCGCCGAAAGGTTCTGAGCAGAGGAGTGACGTGAAATGACATATTTTAAAAACGTGCAGTGGCTACTGGACTGATAAAAGATGGGAAAGGAGCAGGAGTGGAAGCAAGGAAGGAGGCTGTTAGGTTATTGCAGTAATGCAGGTCATGTAACTAGGACAGGGTGGACCAGGATTCGATGCAGGGACAGATATCAGTCACTACTTGATGCTCTTTTAAGACTTTTCTTGTGAACAAAATCAGGAAGCAATTATTGACATTTCCATTTTGAACATTTATAAAAAGGAATGTTTATTTAATTCTTTCCTTAAACCGGGAAAACCCTTGGCTTTTGCGGCAACATGCTGCTTTCCTTTCTGGATGTATTTTCAGAGACCCTAAAAAATATCCAGATGAATTGGGTAAAGCTGTGAGGAAAAAGGTAAGTCAAGGATGACTCCAAGATTCTTAGTCCAGGGCATGAAAGTTGTCACTGATTGTGATGGGGAAGACAAGTTTTGTGGGAGAAGACCAGGAAATAACTTTCATACAAGTGGTGAAGGAGGTATCTATTAAGCATCCAAACAAGGATGATGAGCAGGCAATTAATATAGGCATTTGGAGTTCAGAGCTGTGGTTCATTCTACATGCCCCAGGTGAACTGATTATTTAGTAGTTTGATTATCATGAGTTGTTAAATATTTTGGATATTACTTTTGATAATATCTATTAAGTGGTATTAGAGTTGTCAGTCTAACCCATTTAATACATAATGTGCATATCCAGGTTTATTTTTACTAAAAAGTGACTTTGATTATGTAATTCCTTTGTTCAGAGGTCTTCAGTAGTGCCCCATGGCCTATGTAATAAAGTTAAAATTTCTTAGTCTGAAATTAAAAGCTTTTCCCAATTTGATCCAAATCAACTTTAGGCAGAGCACATGAGCCCCTCTCTAGTTACACTGGGCTTATAAGAATCCTTCATACTTAGGCTTGTCCACCTCTGTTTCCTTTAAGTTGTTCCCCTTAACAGTAAATATATCTCAGCTCTCACCATCTATGAACATCCAATCCATCCTTCAAGGCCCAAATAACTATGAAAGCTCAGAATGAGCTCTCTCTGAATTCTTCAAAGCACGCTCATATACATGTATGTTTCACTGACAGTAGGAACTTCTGTTTTCCTTAGTGCCACGTGCATAGTAAGTGATATGTAAATGACTGATGGGCCCTATCCTTAAGGCCATATTATTATTAAAATCTAAGCTCTTACATGTGTTATTATGAACAGCAACCCTAGGAAGAGGAATCTCTACTATCCCTAGCTTACTATGTGGGATTGGAGACTTAAGGGCCTTAAGCATCATTCCCAAATTTATAAGCAGTGAATGGCAGAGCTGAAATATGAATCCAGATGACTGCTTTCTAGGGGCAGATGTTTTAGTCACCACTAGATACTCTGTCTCCTAGTTAGATAGCTTAGAGTAGGTAAGTACTCCTGCTTAGAGTGGGTAGCCTGTCCCTTCTCCAGCGGATCTTCCCAACCCAGGAATAGAACTGGAGTCTCTTGCATTGCAGGTGGATTCTTTACCAACTGTGCTATCCGGGAAGCCCACTTAGATAGCACATTCACTTAAAATCCATGCAAATAAATCCAGAAAGCAAAGGAAGCTTTTCAACCCCCATTCTAAAAGGATAGTGAAGAAAAATCCATGTTTATTTCACATACCAAAGAATCTCTCCAAGCATCTATAGAAATGTGATGATTTCTCTTGGACTGATTTTGAGGGAGTTATCATCACGCGGAGTGACAGTTCCTGACCACTACTCGTAGGCCTTGGTCCTTCACTCCACCATATTTCCCTATGTTTGTTGTTTTCCTCGAGATATTAATATTATTTTAGTCACTTGAGAAATGAGAACTCCTCAAACTTGCTTTAGATACATGGTGTGACATATCCATTTTTCTGAAAGTTATCGTGGCTACTAAGGCTTCTCAGGGAACAAAGTTTGACTGAAAGTCAGACACTGAACGTATATAGCATACGTGAGGCAGTGGCGATGAGGCAAAGAGAGCATGTATAGCAGAAAATATCCAGTTTATTCCTGGGACTGTACATGTAACGCACATTCCTTTTTTTCTCCCACCAAACTTGGGGTACTCCGGGAGAGTTATTATTTATTCATAAATCACCACATGGCTCTCTGGATCTAATGGAAAATCCATTTGTTGGCAGGAGAGGCAAAAAAATAATATAATGAAAAATGCAAAAATAGAGGATTTCCATTCAGTAGAATCACTCACACCCTGATGGGCTACAGCAACAAATGTTCAACAGGATACCCATACAGAGAGGGCCTACAGACAGCAACGGCTGGCAAGCAAATGTTCCTTCTAAACACTTCTTTAGGTCGGTGCTACCTCATGCACTGGGTGAGTCTTACTGAAAACACAGATAAGGCTGAAAGGAACTTTGACCATATGTAACTATGCTTTGAGTACGTGTGCATTTGGGAGGAGGAGTTGGGAGAGAAAAGAATACTTTTTTTATGTTATTGTCTTTTTTTTCTGATGAGTGGATTTAACAGTTAATGAAGTATCAGTCTCCAGGAAACCCCTGCTTGTATCCCTAACATCAAATCACACGTGACTCGTTTTACCTTTAGAACTCTGAACAACTTGTTTCCTGCTTGTATTTTTGGATCTTGCCTTAAGGAAATATCATTCTATTTCACTCAAGTGTACCCCCTAAACAGACCGAGAAACCAGCAGAAAGTACACACACACACACACACACACACACACACACACACACACACTCCAGATGGAGAGAGCCACAGATATCAGGGGTGTGGCCAGCTCGGGAAGCAGAGGGAATTCAGTGTGGTGTGAACACAGAACCAGAGTTGGAGAGCTAAAGATGAGGAGCTAATGGAGACAACGGAGCGTCAAATCCTAGCCGCCCATCCATTCCCTGTTAAAGAGTTTGGATTTCAGGAGTGTTAGGATTGACCCTACATATATGTTGATATCAAATAGAGAGGTCTAAAGAAAAATGTAAACTAAGTAACTAAATTCTTTTCTCCTTTCAGCCACACATTCTTTCCTTTCTGTATTTTTGCCTCTCCCTTCGTCCCCATTCCTCCAGTCAAGAATGAGGTCCTCTGCCCCATCACGGCCCCGGTGTGTAGCTCAGAGCATCTGCTTTCCTTGCTTTTATCTGCACTGCCTGTCAAGTGCTCCATACCTCAGTGCCCCTTAAAACTACAAGCCAACTCATTATAGCTGAATGTTAGTGGAAAAAAAGACTTTACTTCCCTGGAGTTATGGAGAAAATGTGGACCAACTACAGAAAAAACAGTCTTGAGACTTTACACTTGAGAACCAAGTTTAAACTTCCTGCCAATATAGAAGATTTATTTTACAAACAATACCCAATAACTCTGTAATGAATTATTTTCTTTTCTAGTTCCATAAGAATTAGTAGCACTTAAAGAATTATGCATGACATTAAAGTTCACACAGTTACACATAAGACATTGCCAGAAAATCCAGCCCTTAGGGAAGCAAGTACCCCGAGTTGTCAAAAAGTCAACAGTTACTTAATTGATCTGGGAAATACAGTGAAGTTATGGCAGCTCAGCTACTGAGGAAAGACTGATGTGCCTAGGCTAGTCTGTGGTAACTTCCTCCTGCCGTGAGAGAACTGCCAGTAAGGGAAGAAAGGCGATTTACATACCATAGCAAGGCAACCTGCCTGTATGTTAGTCACAGCCCGCCAGCTTGAGACATCCCGGGAAACCCCGAGCTGGAAGAAAAGAAAAGTTATCGTCACAGTTGCCTTTAGCCTTATTCTGTATAATTCACACACAGAATCACTTCTGTACATCTTCAGTGAAAAATTGTTACTATTGTTTTCTGTCACGAGTTAACTATTTTTGTAGTAGTTTTTAAATTGTATATATTTTGCTCTCACTTTAAAACACAACATTTTCTTCTTTTTTTCTTTCTGCTCTCCAAGCCTCCAGGAAAAACCGCTTCTGTGGCACATTTCTTACAGAGCACAGCTAGAATGAGTGGTGCAGAAAGTTCTACGGATCATGCAGAGGTAAGAACACATTTCTGGGAGATGAATTGACCATACATAGCATCAACAGCATTGCTGATGGCTAATTATGCAAAGATTAATAAGAATAGAAGGGGCTAGTTTGCTTTCTTTAGGTAAGATATGCTCTATATATTTCAATAAAGAAAAAATATCTAGGTGACTGGTTACATTTTCTTTGACACCTCTGAGCTACATTTCTTTTTGCTTTTAAAGTGAAAAATAAAATCCTGTCCTTTCAGCTTTTCAATTCTATGTTTCATATTTTGCTCTTGACTTAAAAAGGAATTTGGTTTAATGTAAAATTTAAGAGAATATTATATTGGTGTGCTTAGAAATAAAATCTATTAGAGCAGTAGAGTACCTGTGGTAAAATACTTATATACATGCAATTAATATCACATTCTTTGCTCTGTTACTGTTTACTGCAACAGATACTAATTGAAAGTGCTTTCTTAAAGTATTTTTTAATGATAACTAAGATATAATAGGAAACAGACTCTTTCGTCCATTCAGGTATTTAATTTAGCAGTCCCAGAACTTGAATCTCTTAAAAACTGATCTGGGCATTAGGGTGAATGAGAAAGCAAGGTCTGAATACTTTGTACATAGATTACATTTTATAGGGAGTACTTTTTCTTTAAAGGAGCCCTTAGAAGGACCAGTGACCTAAAAATCTTTCTATGCCTTTATTAGCAAATAAGAAGCATAGCAAAAACAAGTGAAAAGTTTCTTCAAAACTTTGTATTTGACTGTTTTGTTTCATTTTGATACACATCTATGTCATATGAATGGTGGTAAAATGTTGATTAATCTCCACAGAAAGTCTTAGTGATATATTTATAAGTCATACCTATTGCTGTGCTTTATCTGTCTTTCAGATTTAATATATTTACTAAGTCATTTTATACAGAATTTTATAAAGATTTAAAAATAACTTTTAAAAGAAAATCAAGAGTCAAACTACTTCATAATTTTTCAGAGAAAATTGTATATGGAAAAAATGCAAACTATCTGATTACTCTCGATCTAAATTCTCAGAAGGCAGGGTATACAAATGTCTGTTGGTCACAGAATTTTTATTGTCTTTGGCATAAATAGAAAAAAAAGACTTTTTGAGGACCCCAAATTCAAGTTCTGAACCATGGTGTGGAATGGAGGAAACTTGAACTTTCATATGAATCATGAAAATCAGTGGTGGGATTTAAAAATAGAGGTGGGATAAGTAGGTGAAGCACAGAGAATTAAGACAGTGAAACCATTCTACAGGATCTTATAATGATAGACACATGTCATTACATATTCATCTACATCCACAGAATGCACAACAGCAAGAGGGGATCGTAATGTAAACTGTGGATCTGGGTGATAATGCTGCGTCAAGGCAGGCTCATCTGTTAACAAATACACCACTCTGGTAGAGGATGCCGACAACGGGGAGAGCTACCCATGTGTTGGGGCAATAGGTATATGGGAAATCTCTATAATTCCCCACTCAATTTTACTGTGAACCTGAAACTTCTCTAAAAAGTAAAATCTATTAAAAAAGAAGATAGAGTGCTATAGCTCCCTTTCAGAAATTCTGATCGGTGTTCTGGGTGCCCTGTGTTTAGCAAGCCCCCAGGTGAATGCACCCTAGTGGTGAGAGAACCGCTAGTCTAGCATCCAGTCTTTCTGCATCTCTGCTTCGCCAAGCCCAGCACACACTAAGTAGGGTTGCTTTACAGCATTTTCCAAATCAGCTATGACTAATTTTTAGTCTGTTCTGATCCAGAATAAGTTCCACCCTTTAGAAGTCTTCCTAAAAAAACAGAAATCTCAATTTCAGGACCCAACATACTTGTCACCTGGAAACTGATACCACTTCTGGCACTGGGCTAACCCAGTTTGAGGTCAAGAAGCAGGTATAATCATTCTGATTTTTGTTGACCTACAGAAGAATGCCTCTTTCTAAATGCAGTCTTAGTTACACATGGGTCTGAATAGGAAGTAACTAAAAAAACTAAGAATAGCATCTATAGAGGTGTAAAACACCACAGAACCATAAAGCATGGAGACAAAAGTTAGCAAGGGTAGAAAAATAATTTTATAAATCATTTCTAATGAAAGAAGTCCTTGAAATTACATGATGATTACAAAACAACATTTCTTGTAACATTTCTAGCAAAGGCCAACATGTTTTGAAAATATTTCTTACTGTTCACAAATTCCCTTAAGCAATTTCTTGGTCCACAATAATTATTGAGCCTGAAACTAAATGGCAGATTTCCAGACTACCCTCATCACCCAATTCATTGTATTACTTTATGATTCAGCCATGCAATGGTTTTAAGACTATTGAGTTAGAACAGAGAAAACAATACTTTAGTGAACTTTGCTGGTGATCGCTTTAGACAGATGGTAGGCAGTTTCCAGAATGTTTGTGCTTTCTTTAAATGAATAATATTTTCTTAAAAATAAAAGTGATTAATTTTTCACCATGCCAATGATTTATTATTCATCTAAATTTGTCATCTAGCAGCTTTATACATAGGGCTGGTTAAAATTACACAATACCAGATAACCTATGCCCACCTCTCTAAGATAATCATATGATGGTCACTGAAGTAGTTAATGTATTATTATTGCTTCAGAATCAGTTTGTCTCTGTGTAACGTACTGTGTTAGTCTCGTTTCCTTGGTTCTATCACGCCTCTGACTTTTGTCAGGGCCACTCCAAATCATGGGCATGTCTGTGTAAATGAATTTTTTTTTTTAATTTTACCAGGTAAATACCTAACATGTATCTATGAAACTTACCTGATTTCTATATACATTATATTCTGTACATTATATTCATTTTTTGGGGAAAATGATTGAAATCCAAATTCATAAAATTCTAATTTCTTGCTTACCTTTTATATAGATACATTTGTAATTTATTCAATAATTGTCTAAGTAGTTAATTCATATAAGAGTTTCTAAAATATAAAGCTTTTTCATCAACAGTTCTCTATGAAGAAGATAATATTTTAGCAAAATTTTTATAAATTACAAATGAGAGCTTGTGAAAGGCAGCATTTCTCCTGTTTACTTGATAGACTATTCTGCTTTGCTCTTTTTTTTTTAAGTGTGCTCAATCGTCAAGAAGAAAGAACTTAAATTCTCTTGAACAAAAGATAAGATGTCTGGAAAAGCAGAGAAAAGAGGTAATTTTGCAATATTAGTTGAAGCAACACAGGGTTGATGCTAACAATGAAAGAGGCCCGTCGTGCCTTTCGCTTTTGCTGCTGGTCGCAGTCTGCATCCTTGGGATCAGCGGCTGCGTTACACTGAGGGCAAATGCCTCTTTCTCTCACCTACAGATCTCTGACTCGGTCTCTCAATGCTTGTGCGAACGGATAAAAAATGACAGACCCATAAATCCAATAATTTTAATTTAAGTTTTGTAACTAGATGTTTCTTCCATATGGGCCAGGTGAGTTTATCAGCTGGGCTGTTAATGCTCTGCAACTTGGCACACCTTGAAACTCAAGCTGTCAAAGGCCTTATTGTATAGTTGACTTGGGTACTAAGACATCATGAGTTGGCATCTGACCAACAGGGGTTAGGGAGCGTTATCACAAAAGAAGTTTGTTTTGAAACGTCATTAGGTATGTAATGGATATTATTTCGAGTTCTGTTTTTCTGAGTTTAATGAATATTAGAACTTCTTTATTCTCCTTGACAGAGGAAACGGTAAAAACAATAACAATTTTGGCACTATGTAGTCAGTTTGGTGCTTCCTTTTCTAAGTCATTTTCTGTTGGTCCTTTAATGGACAGGAACCTGGTGGTCCGGAGTCGACGTTAAGAAAATAAGAGAGAGAAAGAGGATGATAGCCCTTGTTGGTCCTTTAATGGCCCGGAACCTGATGGTTCCGAGAGTAAGAGAGAGAAAGAGGCTGACATCCCCTGGTTTAGGCGGAAAGCCGACAGAGCCCTGTTCTCAGGGCTCCGCTGCTGCGCGGAGGCACCGGGCGCCCTCTCGAGTGGGTGACGGCGCAGCGCGCCTTCTGGAGAGGGGCTTAGAGGCCCGGGCAAGAAAGTGAGCTCAGCGGGCCTCCGCGCTCCAAGAAATTAGCCACAACTAGAGAGAGAGAGAGAGAGAAAAGAAAGAAAGACACGGGGACCAAAGCTCTGATGCAGCAAAGGTGTTTTAATCAACATGGCGTGGGCATATATACTGTCTTACAGGGTGGTTATTCTCAGCAAAGACAAAGATTAAAATTCCAGACTTACAAACCATAGGATGATCCCTATCAAAGAGAGAGTTGCAAGCAATCACCTTTTACCATTTGGCTCATAAAAAGGAAGAGGATACTTGTCACTGTAATGAGAAATGCCTGGATTCCTCAGCCCAGGGAAAGGCGTGCCTCTTCTCTTAATTCAGGAATTAATAAGGGCCAGAGGGTTCCTGACAGATCCCAAACAGCACACAGGAAGCCTCTTGTTAAATGCTTCCTGACAATTTTCTACATTACAGCCTTTCTGTTTTCTTCTATGGTGTCCTCCACCCTTTGATACTGCATAAAATAGTGTGCTCTTCTGGAAAAGTACTGAACTTCAGCAAAGTAATGTTACCAGTGCATAGAAATGTTAGTCCCTAAAATGACAGGAGCTCAGGGATCTTTATAAAATAATATTATATAGTCTTATCTAAAAAGTTATATCTATTTCTAGCATAAGAGTTACCTAGCTACTGCCACTCTGGATTAGATATTGTTTTGTAATGAAGAGAAAGTTTTGTTACCTTTTTAGTCATTATATCTATCTTCTCCATGTCTGCCCTATATTTATAGCTGTTGGAATTTCTTTTAATGTGGAAAGCTGTAGACTTCCCTGACTAGAAAACTAAAAAGAGGTCATAGTGTTTTTCCTTTCATCTATTTAGCACATAGTTTTGAAGTTTGAAACAAAGTTACAAGTTGTTTGCAGCCTAAATTGCTTCTAAAATTGTCTTATGACAAAACTATTATTCCTTGAATAATCTAAGCTTTCAAAAAAGTGATATTATATATTAGTTGAGTACATTATACAAATCATGTACTGATTTTTTTTTAAAAAAACACATATTGCAAGCAAATGATTATCAGCTAATGAGACTTGGAATTTTTAATATAAATTCTGCCTTTAAAAGATATAAGAAATATTACATTATAATAGTCAAGGTAAGCACATAGAAAAATATGGAAAGATTTTATAAAAGACTTCAAATGTGAATAAATATTACAGAAAACCATTAATGCAATTTGTATCAGGTTCTGGTTGGATTGAACAAAGAAGATGAAAATTCAAATAAGTATGCAAAGTTAAAAGTTTCTAATAAATTGTTCGGCTGACTAGTCAAGATATACCTAAGATGTACTAGTTTTTCACATGTGAGCCAATTATGAAAGGTGAATGGGTTAACTCATCCCAGATCTACCAGAACTTGGTGGAAAGAATACTATCTTCACCAATGACTTCCAAAATCTTACCTCAAAAAGTGATTTCATTTTGACTAAATTTCCGACTGAGCAGATCCTTTGTTGATTTACCAAATTCTAATAATTTCAGCTCCTGGAAGTTAACCAGCAATGGGATCAGCAATTTAGAAGCATGAAAGAGTTATATGAAAGAAAGGTAAACTCCTCTCTGTTTGGCATTTGCTTTAAATCAATAATCTGAGTGAGCCAAGTATGTGAAGATTTTCATTGATTTCAACTACAGGAGATTTGTGAATAGCCAGCCTTCTGTTGAAAAATGATAAGGAGGAGTGTGCTGAGTGTATTACTGGCTTCTTGGTACTGAAGATTAATGAAGGTGTCAGTGAATTGTCTTGAGAATGTAAAAATAAAGATACTAAAAATAGCCTCCAGCGGTATCTCTAAATTCTTAGGCACATTTATCAGAGCTCACAGAGCATCCTGGCTCTGTTACTAGCAGCCATAAAAGCACAAAGTTATTTGTGAGATGAGAGATGGCTTAAAGTTCATACTGTTTTATACAAGGCTAGTTCTCTAATTCTTTATAGCATAAGCTGTTTCCCACAGATAAGGAAAGAATGCTAACAGTGAGTGAGGGGAAATGGGGCAAACCCTCTTCTCTCTAAAGCATGTTCTCAGACAAGAAACGTTTGCTTTGGGGAGAAATAATTTTTTTTTAATATATATTTAAAGAGGAAAAGTCAACTTATTATTTAAAATAATTTCATGTTTCAAAAGAGAGAGAAGAGAAAGTAAACTCCCTGAATAATTCAGAATTAAGAAATTTGACCACAAGTGAGAAATACAGCAGAATGACTCTTTTCTTCCTCATTTTGATACTCAAAGTATTACATTTAGAAAAAGCAAGATGGTTTTCACTACACCAGGCCATGGCCAAACCACCTTATATAATAATATTCAGAGGGGCAGCTTTTGGGTCTCCAAATATTAAGTCACATGATCCCAGAGAAAACATTTAGTTACCTTCCCAAAGGGCTTGCAGCTGCGTGAAGACCCAGGGTTAAAAATGGTCACACTCTCCATCTTTGATGAAGTGCTTGTTCCTAAGGCTTCTCTTGCTGGACCCCTGCAACCCAGACACCTAATTTGGAATTTAATAGCAGGTCAAGAGATTTGGCACGCACTGCACAGCAGGTCAAGCGCTGCAGGTTACTGAGGAGTTAAAGGCCGTATCTGTTTTTCTGTAATGTAAGCATGTTCACTGATCTCCACCCTTCACTGCCTTCTTCAGATCAGGCAAGGCACACCTTGCCAGTTGAAAACAGAATGACTTGCATATAGGGTTATCATTACCATATTTCTAAAGTCCATATGTATGTGTTAGTATACTGTAATGGTCTTTATCTTTCTGGCTTACTTCGCTCTGTATAATGGGCTCCAGTTTCATCCATCTCATTAGAACTGATTCAAATGAATTCTTTTTAATGGCTGAGTAATATTCCATGGTGTATATGTACCACAGCTTCCTCATCCATTCGTCTGCTGATGGGCATCTGGGTTGCTTCCATGTCCTGGCTATTATAAACAGTGCTGCGATGAACATTGGGGTGCACGTGTCTCTTTCAGATCTGGTTTCCTTGGTGTGTATGCCCAGAAGTGGGATGTAAAGTAATTAGCCTCCAACTAATAAAAAAAAAAAATTAAAATAAAAAAAAAAAAGAAAACAGAATGACAAGCCTCGATGGCTCCCGTAAGGTCTAAGGGTTTATTTCCTCCAAAGGGGCGTAGTCTGGAGAAAGGAGTCTACAAACCGTTTTGGTGTTTGCTTTTTTCTCTTGTAGAGGAAGCATTTTTTAAAAAGCAAAAGACCTGATCTTGGTTTGGGGTAGTGGGAAGAGCAGCCCCTCCGTAGGGGACGCCCAAGAGTGAGCCAGTTCTGTCCCGCGGTGTTAGGTTGGGAAAAAAATACAGGGGTTGGTGGGCTTCGGACCAGGTGTCTGCAGCTGTCTGTGAACCACTCCTGCCTGCAGGTCGCAGAGCTGAAATCGAAACTGGATTCCGCAGAAAGATTCCTGGGAACACTGGAGAAGGAGCGGCTGCAGAACCCCAGCGAGAGCTACCCGCCGCGCTGCTGGACCAACGAGTCGCCGCGGCGTGCGGAGGTGGGCAGGGCTCGGGAGCGAATCCCCGCCCCCAGGAGGGCGGGGCCCCTGCCTCCGATGGGCCAGGGGGTACAGGGTTCGGAGGTCCCAAAACCAGGGGCCACGTCTCTAAATCAGAAGGCAGGATGTGCCCTATTCGCTTCCTCCTTTGCCGTTCGGGAGGCTCCATCCGCAGGGAGATCCAAGCCACAGATTTGGGGGTGTTTTTCTAGGGCATTGCAGCCTAGGAAAAAATTCATTTTGCTTTTTTGCCTTTACTCATTCTGATTTATTTTTACTGCTATTGTTGGTAATATGACAAATCTTTGTACAGTTGCTTTTCAGCTTACAAGAAGCTTTACAAAAAAGTATGACTTTTATCACCCTAAAAAGATAACATTTTTGAAAAGTGTCTCATCCTCATCTCATTTAACATTCGCCGCCCATCTGTGAGGAAAATCATACGTTTGTCATTTTAGAAATGAGAAGGCTGAGGTGTAGAGTTTAGACGGCTTGTCAATATCTATAAGTAGCACATGGGAAAATGGGACTTCAACCCAGTCTCCAGATTGGAAGGGTCCTTTAATCCCCTTGAGAACTAGAAGGTGGCGTTGAGATGATGCCTTTTCTTAATGTGGACTCCTGGTTTTATGTTTAGTTATGGGACTTTACAGTTATGGGACTGCGAACAAAGCTAGTAAAGGTGATGGAATTCCACTTGAGCTATTTCAAATCCTAAAAGATGATGCTGTGAAAGTGCTGCACTCAATATGCCAGAAAATTTGGAAAACACAGCAGTGGCTATAGGACTGGAATCCAAGTTCAGTTTTCACAGTCCCAAAGAAAGGCAATGCCAAAGAACATTCAAAGTGCCACACAATTGCACTCATCTCACACACTAGCAAAGTAATGCTCAAAATTCTCCAAGCCAGGCTTCAATAGTATGTGAAACTTGAACTTCCAGATGTTCAAGCTGGATTTAGAAAAGGCAGAGGAACCAGAAATCAAATTGCCAACATCCATTGGATCATAGACAAAGCAAGAGAGTTCCAGGAAAACATCTATTTCTATTTTATTGACTATGCCAAAGCCTTTGACTGTGTGGATCACAGCAAACTGTGGAAAATTCTTCAAGAGATGGGAACACCAGACCACTTGACCTGCCTCCTGAGAACCCTGTATGCAGGTCAAGAAGCATCAGTTAGAACTGGACGTGGAACAACAGACTGATTCCAAATAGGGAAAGGAGTACATCAAGGCTGTATATTGTCATCTGCCTATTTAACTTACATGCAGAGTACATCATGCAAAATGCTGAGCTGGATGAAGCACAAGCTGGAATCAAGATTGCCAGGAGAAATATCAATAATTTCAGATACACAGATGATACCACCATTATGGCAGAAAGCAAAGAAGAACTAAAGAGCCTCTTGATGAAAGTGAAAGAGGAGAGTGAAAAATTTGAATTTAAGCTCAACATTCAGAAAACTAAGATGGGCATCCGGTCCCATCACTTCATGGCAAATAGATGGGGAAGCAATGGAAACAGTGAGAGACTTTATTTTGGGGGGCTCCAAAATCACTGCAGATCGTGATTGTAGCCATGAAATTAAAAGACTCTTGCTCCCTGGAAGAAAAGCTATGGCCAACCTAGACAGCATATTAAAGAGCAGAGATATAACCTCCCTTTTGATGCTCCCTCTCATCTCCCTTCCCATGCCAGCCCTCTGATTAATGTTGAGGTTTGACAGAAAACAGGAAAATTCTGTAAAGCAATTATCCTTCAATAAAAATTAAATTTAAAAAAGCAGAGACATTACTTTGCTGACAAAGTTCAGTCTAGTCAAAGTTTTTCCAGTAGTCATGTATGGATGTGAGAGTTGGACTATAAAGAAAGATGAGCGCCAAAGAATTGATGCTTTTGAACTGTGGTGTTGGAGAAGACTCTTCAGAATCCCTTGGACTGCAAGGAGATCCAACCAGTCAATCCTAAAGGAAATCAGCCCTGAATATTCATTGGAAGGGCTGATGCTGAAGCTGAAACTCCAATACTTTGGCCACCCATTGCGAAGAACTGAGTCATTTGAAAAGACCCAGATGCTGGGAGAAATTGAAGGCAGAAGGAGAAGGGGACCACAGAGGATAAGATGGTTGGGTGGCATCACCGACTCAATGGACATGAGTTTGAGCAAGCTTGGGAAGTTGATGATGGACAGGGAAGCCTGGCGTGCTGCAGTCCATGGGGTCACAAAAAGTCAGACACGACTGAGCAACTGAACTTCACTGAACTGATGGGACTTCATGAATATTGTAGGAAAAGGGTGGAGGCCCTTGAGCCCTAAAGGCCTCTCATTTTTTCAGACAGGAAAAAGGAGAATAAGGCTAATTTTCTCAGATGAAGTCTTGTGACTGATATTGTGATGAAGTGGTTGTGTTTTACAACATGTACAAGTCTTAAGGCAGTTTCACACATTAGTACATGACAACATCTGTTCGGATTTCCCACCTTGCTAAGGATATCTTTGGCAGTGTCCAAAGAAAGCAAAGTTTAGCAATTCCCTTTCTGCCATGTAAAAGTTCCTTTCTGTTCCATCTACACCCAGCACAAGAATCATGGTTACTTTTTTCCCCTATGCCATTTGGATCATTTTCTAGTTGAAATAATTTTCTCTTAAGCTATGCTAAATTTTAAAAAAATTGGTGAATTTTCTAGGTGTACATATAGATCTATTCTGGTTAAACAAAGACAAATAGAAATGTTTTCACTTTTAAGGAAAACAACTCACCTAAATTTGATTTCTTAAATCATTGTTTTGGGAAACAATAGCTATTAAAACAATATACTTTAACATATAGATTTACCTAACTCCAGAATATTTATTTTACTAGGTTAAAATTTTCATCTCATTAAGAATCCAATTCACTCGACAAAAAGTTTACTGCCCAGAATACAAAATTAGGAGATAGGAGACAGCTGTTGTCTGAATTCAGAACTGGTGTCTAAGCCACTAGCCTTGCTTCAAGTACTTAAAACGCTGGATTGCTTGAAGGTGATCTGAAGAGTAGAGGAGTGATGGCAGTTGGACCAGCCCATCTCTACATTTTAAAAGAAATCATCACAAAAATATAGCACTCTGAATAATTATCTGTGATGTAGGGTCTTATTGCCTGAGGTTTTCATCCTTTATTCTCTTCTGTCTCTCTTCAGGCCAGAATGAAGCAAGGCTTTGAGATATTGATATTTTTTGTTGCAGTGACACATTTTGCATTTTAAAACTTTCAGTTATTTTTTAGTGAATCAGTCTTTTGTCACCACCTTATAACTGTGCATAGGGAATAGCTTATTCTGCAGACTCATTTGATCCTTGAAAGTGAGGAGTGGGGATTTTGATATCTTGTTCTGGGGTCACAAAACTTAGTAGCAGTAAGGATAACAGAAAGATTTCTTCTATCCTAATCCTGACTTCCACCCAGAGTTGTTGTTGTTTAGTTGCTAAGTCACATCCGACCCTTTTAAGATCCCACAGACTATAGGCCGCCAGGCTCCTATGTCCATGGGATTTCCCAGGCAAGAATACTGAAGTGGGTTGCCATTTCCTTCTCTAGTGGATCTTCCTGATCCAGGGATCGAACCCACGTCACCTGCATTCACAGGCAGGTTCTCTACAGATGAACCATGAGGGAAGCCCACCCAGAGATTATTACTCAAGTGGGATGTTAAATGAAAATCTAGTAGGTCTTGTTTGTTTTGTTTTTTTTTTTTTAAATTTCAGAAGTAGTCCTACAAAATCATCTCATCTGAATTTTATTGTTTGGAATTTGTTTTCTTGCTTTATATTTCAGAAGGATAAGGAGAGCCTAAATGGAGAATTACATGAATTGAAGATAGAGAATAACCTTTTGAAGGAAAAAAATGCTCTCATGAACCACAAGAAGCAACGTTATGAATGTGAAATAAAACGCCTCAATAAGGTATCAAGCCAGGTGAAGCTGAAGAGGTCAGATGTGAGGTTTCTGTATAAAGAGTACATTCTGGGTTGAGACTCAGAGCAAAATCCACTCACGCTGCAAGGCAGCTCACAGTCTTGGGGGCTTGCACAAAAGGTCTCTGTAATTTTATAAATCTCTCCAAATTCCTCGTTCAGCTATGCTTGGCTAAGGATTTTTTGGGGATTCGTGTCCCTGCAAAGATTGTCATGAAAAAGATAAGGAGATATTATAAAAGAGAGTAAGAATTTCTTTTTTGGTGGTTCAAAGAACCACATAAAGCAAGTGGGTGTTTGTGAAGAGTAGTGTGTGTCTTGGTCAACCACAAAAGTTTCCTGAGGAAATAGACTGCACTTTAAAATCATCATGGTGGAGCTGCTAGGTGTGAAGCAGACTGCATGGAAGCAGGCTAAATGCCAAAGCCAAGAATGGTGGCTTTTCTGAGAATAAGCCTTTTAGGGGGGAGAGTGGGGATAGATCTATTAAGAAAATGCAGGTGATTTTAATGCCTTTGCTCCAACTTAACCATTCAAAGGGGCCACCTTTGAATTGCTGCAAAAGAATGACATGTGAGTGAGTGTGTCTGTGTGTTGTTTCATGGACTAAACCTTAATTTTCTCTGGGAAGGAATTGCTGACTTGTTCAGGGGAAAAAAATTAAACCCTTTGCTGTTGACTTTTTCATACATGGACCATAGAAATACCTGTAGGAGTTGAAATATTCATCTCTCAAGCTAGGTATTTCTTGGCCAAAGTAACAGAAATTGTCTTCTAAAATGAGTAGGTGATTGGCCTTAAACACATGCTTGGTGCTTGCGTTTTGGACTGTGCCATCTTGCAGTTAAGTAGTTTTCAGAGGTATAACTTAAAGATTCCCAGAGTGTTAACTATGTGACTATACAGTTGATAGGATGCTTTACAAATGTGATGCTGTATTTGATCTATTTATGAGCAAGCTGTTATTTAGGATAAAGTGAGAAATTGGAGGTTGACTTCGTAAACAGTGTACTTCTCTATCCTTTAAGAGAGAAAATCAATGGAGATACAGATTCAGGGCAAATGGATTTTCTCTCTTATTCTCTGCTGGAAATTCTCTGCAAATGAATTAGAGGAGCTGGCATTAATTGAGATTATATTTGAAATGTCTCCCACTTTTGGTACGTCATCGCTTATTAGTTCTGTTTCTCTAAATGTGGACATAAGGATATAAAGCCTGTATAAATTAGAACAGTCAAGAACTCTGTTTTTAACTCAAGAAGCTCATATGTAACCTTAATTTTTGTGTATCTGCTTTTATAGTCAACAGGAAAAAAAACTTTTAATAAGTAAAAACTTTATAGCTCATGATTATAATCTTGAAATCTCAATGAGAAAAATTAATTTGAGTAAAATTCAGAGCTTTATACAAATGTCATCTTCTCAAAGAGGATTTTTCTGGTTATCCTAACTAAAATTACGTACTACACCTCTAAAGTTTCCTGTTTTAATTTTTCCTTGGAATTCATTGCTATTTAATATATGCAAAATGTCTCATGTTTATTATCATATTTGCTTGCTCTCTCCAAGTCTTGATTATAAGCTCCATGTGGGCAGGATTTTTGCAGGGCAGACATCTCTCTTAGGCATGGTAGACCCAGTGTTGAGTACTCACAATACTTTTAGTGGCCCACTGAGATGCTTAATTTCTCTTAAAGTCAGAGGGAAAAAAATGAAAGCTTTATGTCAAAAAAACATTTCATATTAATATTAACATATTCATCTTTGTAAGAATGCAATTATATAAATTTACTATCAATACCTATTTATTTGAAGAAGGAGACTCACAAGGACAATAGTCATAATGGGGCCCTGAGTTTCTCTGTTTTGTTCACTGCTGTATTTGAAGTGCCTAGAACAGGGCCTTGCTCATAATATGTTCTTTTTTGTTTGTTTGTTTTTATTAGTTGGAGGCTAATTACTTTACAATATTGTTGTGGTTTTTTGCCATACATTGACATGAATCAGTCATAGATTTACATGTGTTCCCCATCCCGATCCCCCCTCCCACCTCCCTCCCCATCTCATCCCTCTGGGTCTTCCCAGTGCACCAGGTCTGAGCACTTGTCTCACGCATCCAACCTGGGCTGGTGATCTGTTCCACATTTGATAGTATACTTGTTTCAATGCCGTTCTCTCAGAACATCCCACCTTCGCCTTCTCCCACAGAACCCAAAAGTCTGTTCTGTACATCTGTGTCTCTTTTTCTGTCCTGCATATATGGTTATCGTTACCATCTTTTTAAATTCCATATATATGCGTTAGTATATTGTATTGGTCTTTATCTTCCTGGCTTACTTCACTCTGTATAATGGGCTCCAGTTTCATCCATCTCATTAGAACTGATTCAAATGAATTCTTTTTAATGGCTGAGTAATATTCCATGGTGTATATGTACCACAGCTTCCTCATCCATTCGTCTGCTGATGGGCATCTAGGTTGCTTCCATGTCCTGGCTATTATAAACAGTGCTGCGATGAACATTGGGGTGCACGTGTCTCTTTCAGATCTGGTTTCCTCGGTGTGTATGCCCAGAAGTGGGATTGCTGGGTCATATGGCAGTTCTATTTCCAGCTTTTTAAGAAATCTCCACACTGTTTTCCATAGTGGCTGTACTAATTTGCATTCCCACCAACAGTGTAAGAGGGTTCCCTTTTCTCCACACCCTCTCCAGCATTTATTGCTTGTAGACTTTTGGATAGCAGCCATCCTGACTGGCGTGTAATGGTACCTCATTGTGGTTTTGATTTGCATTTCTCTGATAATGAGTGATGTTGAGCATCTTTTCATGTGTTTGTTAGCCATCTGTATGTCTTCCTTGGAGAAATGTCTGTTTAGTTCTTTGGCCCATTTTTTGATTGGGTCATTTATTTTTCTGGAGTTGAGCTGGAGGAGTTGCTTGTATATTTTTGAGATTAATCCTTTGTCTGTTGCTTCGTTTGCTATTATTTTCTCCCAATCTGAGGGCTGTCTTTTCACCTTGCTTATAGTTTCCTTTGTTGTGCAAAAGCTTTTAAGTTTCATTAGGTCCCATTTGTTTATTTTTGCTTTTATTTCTAAAATTCTGGGATGTGGGTCATAGAGGATCCTGCTGTGATTTATGTCGGAGAGTGTTTTGCCTATGTTCTCCTCTAGGAGTTTTATAGTTTCTGGTCTTACATTTAGATCTTTAATCCATTTTGAGTTTATTTTTGTGTATGGTGTTAGAAAGTGTTCTAGTTTCATTCTTTTACAGGTGGTTGACCAGTTTTCCCAGCACCACCTGTTAAAGAGGTTGTCTTTTTTCCATTGTATATCCTTGCCTCCTTTGTCGAAGATAAGGTGACCGTAGGTTCGTGGATTTATCTCTGAGCTTTCTATTCTGTTCCATTGATCTATATTTCTGTCTTTGTGCCAGTACCATACTATCTTGATGACTGTGGCTTCATAGTAGAGCCTGAAGTCAGGCAGGTTGATTCCTCCAGTTCCGTTCTTCTTTCTCGAGATTGCTTTGGCTGTTTGAGGTTTTTTGTATTTCCATACTCTAGTTCTTTTAAGAATACCATTCGTAGCTTGATAGGGATTGCCCATTTATGGTAAAAACTCTCCAGAAAGTAGGAGTAGAAGGAACATACCTCAACAGAATAAAAGCTATATATGACAAACCCACAGCAAGCATCACCCTCAATGGTGAAAAATTGGAAGTATTTCCCCTAAAATCAGGAACAAGACAAAGGTGCCTACTCTCACCACTACTATTCAACATAGTTTTGGAAGTTTTGGCCACAGCAATCAGAGCAGAAAAAGAAATAAAAGGAATCCAGATAGGAAAAGAAGTGAAACTCTCACTGTTTTCAGATGACATGATCCTCTACATAGAAAACCCTAAACACTCTACCAGAAAATTACTAGAGTTAATCAATGAGTATAGTAAAGTTGCAGGATATAAAATTAACACACAGAAATCTCTTGCATTCCTATACACTAACAATGAGAAAACAGAAAGAGAAATTAAGGAAACAATACCATTCATAACATGTTCTTAAATATTTGTTGAAGAATGAATTAACTAACTAATGTAATTTGCTGATGATGTAATATACTCAATAGCCAGTTGTGATCCTGGCGTCTATGCTTTAATAGGCCCAGCACTTTACTCTTACCTATGAGTAGTAAGAAAAAATAAAAGTGCACTTTACACAAGAAGAGACTTCACCCCCCACGTCTGTACCTTCAACTGTCATTTGTAAAACACAGGTAAAAAATGATGAGCTATAAAAAGATTTTTTTCTCTTTTTTTTTCATTTAGTACAAAGAGGTTTTTTTCTCATTTAGTGTCTAATGAAATGTAAGAAATTATTCTGTTTTATACTGTAGATTTTTCTTTTCTCTTTACCACTGTAATAAATAGAAGTTATTTTTAAAATGATGATTTGGGTATCTAATTGTGCATACCATTCATCACAGGATGGAGTTTGGGGCACACCCTGCTTGCTCACACTTACTGCCTGCTGACCCAGTCTCCCAGCAGAAATTCATAGCATGTCAGCTTAGCAATTAGCAGATGGTTTTCACAAGTTCACACAACTACTTGTACTCAGTTCTACTTTTTTGCTTTGAAGGAGATACCTAAGGGTATTTTCATAAAGTTCTGGACAAGAGAATCCAGATGTTTAATCTAAGTGAGAAAAATTACCTGGGTCTAGTCAACCAGTGTGACCCATGGGCAGAAGTAATGTTCTGCCATCTCACCATCAATGTGCTTAGTATATCTTATCTGTGCTGATGGTAAACTGCTGTTCTAGAATAAGTTACAGGTGTTTGTTCAAGGAAGTTGGAAAACCCCAAGATTAAATAAATATCTACTAAACTCACCTTTCATTTATGATTCATTTGCAAAATTTCTAGAAATCTGAGTAGCATGAAAGGTAGATCAGGAAATTCAAATATTACAAGACCCACAAAAAGTCTATTTATAGCTGTAGGATATGGAGCCAGCATATTTGATTGCCTTGACTCACTTCACTCACCCCACCTAGATTCTGATACTACTAACATAACACTTTATTTTTAAATATAGCTATTATGATAATTCCTAGAACTATATAGATTAGCAATAAATTCTAACAAAACATAAAATATTAAATAACTTCTGGTGTTTTAAGTATTCCTGGAGGAAGAAAAAAGTTTTTGTTTTTCTTACAACCTCCTGAAAAATGATATTTACATCAGGCTAGACAGTATCCATAGACTAGATGACATCCTATTAGGAAGTTTCTAGTCTTAACTATATATACATTTAACGCCATAAATTTACTTTGCTTTTCTAACCTTACAACCATATTACATACTAATGCAGGGAAGTGAGTTACTGGTAGAATCATCAAATGAACATCACTGAAGCAACTAAAGAGATACAGAGGAAGTAAAGTCTCGTAGCTTTGGAAGTGAACTTTTTCTATTTGTATAGAGGACTCATTCGATAAGGAGCAAGTAGTCGTATTGTGTGTGGGCTTTGATACCACAGCAAGATGAGGTATGTTCTGTCACCATTTTTGGCAGCCATTTTATTTAACTCATCACAAGGCAAAGGTCTTCAGAATAGAGACAGTATCTTTTATATAATCTGACAAAGTGTAGCATATGTGAAAGTACCATGGATTTATGAGTAAGGATGATGATCTGGTTGGCAAATCTAAGAGTCTCTTATTTCTTCCACTTCCTCACCCCATGGTGAAAACACCAAATTGTACTGAATTTCAGGAAAGCAGAGCACTCTCCCCCTGTGGGCTCCCCCGGTGGCTTGGTGGTGAAGAATCCTCCTGGCCAGTGCAGGAGACATGGGTTTGATTCCTGGGTCGGGAAGATCCTCTGGAGAAGCCAGTGGCAACCAACTCCAGGATTCTTGCCCAGGAAATCCCATGGATGAGAAACTTGGCAGGCTACAGTGCATGGAGTCACACAGAGTCAGACACGTCTTAGCGACTAAACAACACCTCTCTACCCTGTGGTGGGTTAATGGATGTTTTATTGGAGAATAAATATAACTGTAGCTAGGCCAGGGCATGGTATGCTGAAGGAATGCAGAGCAGAACAGTGCCACAGATCTAATGGTAACAAATCTGCATGGATTCCCACCTTTCCTGTAGGGGACATGGTTATATAGCAGAAATATATTACTCAGAATGTCATCCAAGATAATCAGCTGTAGCTTTTGAAGAATGCAGATTTTCAGTTCTTATCCCCAGATATACTGATTCAGGATCCGTGGGGACAATGCCCAGGAATGGGCATATTTGCTGCCTCTCCAGGTGATTTTGATGCTTCCTAAAATTTGAGCTTTATTGACAGAGCATGTATTTGACTGAAGCAGAGACTCTAGAGAAAGACTATATATATCTGTTTTCCAATCATGATTAGCCGGGTGGGAGGGAGGGTCTGTAATATCAAAAACCTTCTTAAGTAACAATGAGAGTTGAATACCATTAACACCATCATGGAGAAAAGACAGAGATTCTGGAAAAAATGCATATATGCTAGAAAATCAGAATAATGTTAGTGAGCGTTAAAAATGAAATTCTACGTTGTGAGTGCATTTAATCACATTTGAAATGATTGTGATAATTGCAGAGAAATATGTACATGGCAACTCTTAGGTCAGCAGTGTGCTTATCTTTAACACAGGCTCTGCAGGATGCCTTGAGAATGGAGTGCTCTCCATCTCTTGAGGACTGTTCAGGGAAGTCTGAAGTGGAGTGCAGCCGTGAGGAGATGCAAACAGAAATGGAAGTTCTCAAACAGCAGGTGAGAAGCTGGACGGGGAGCAGTCTTGTGGAGAACTTTGGGCCTGTTGCTCCTGTGCTATTTGGAGATTGCTAGAGGTCCTGCTTTTCATACGGCGTCAAAGGTGTTTGCATGTATTTAATTATAATTACCTAATTTTAAAGCTTTATGGGAAAATTTAGATCAGCTAGTCCAACTCTCACACTTTATGAAAAAGAAAATTGAATTTCAGATGGGTTGAATGGCTTGCCCAAGAGCACACAACTTAAAAGAAGGGCATGCTAATTAACCTTTTAGTGAAATTCCATTAGCACTGGTTCCAGAGATTTTCATGCAGACACAATTTATTTTTAAGACACTATTAACCCAAACTCTGGACCTTTTCAGAAAATGGTAGCAGCTGGGCTGCTCCTCTGTAGCTGCAGACCTTCCAGGCTTTGAAACAATGAGGGCAGTTTTAAAGGGAATAGTCTGCACTGATCACAGAAGAGGCAAGTCTGTTTATCTATTCCCACATATGGATGGCACTGCCTAGGAATTTACTGATGAGTTCCGGCTTCCTCCTTCCCACCCACCCTGCTTCACTCACTGTTGCCAAGTACACAGCAAGAGTCAAGGATGCTCTAATAAGCTCATGCATGCATCAGTGGCATAGGGCTAGGGGACATAGCACTGCCTAACTACTGGAGCCTACACTAAGTTCATCTGGCTGGAACTGGCTTAGCCAAGGGGCCACTCGAGCATATCACATCTCTTTTCCTATGAGAGGTAAAATGAATATAGGTAAAAATATTAGTAAAAAATATAGGTAAAAATACTAGTAAAAAACTAATATAGGTAAAGGGCTGGAACAGTTCAAGGTGATATTGATAAATACAGGAATTCCAATCCTCGAGGCACACATTGTTGGTGATATATTAACAATGGCAGGTTGCGGGGCAGGATGTCATAGAACAAAGTGTGGAAATGTATTATTTTCTGATGTCCCTGGGAGTAACTTGTTGGCTGTTTGGCTCTGAGCAAGTGCCAATTACAAGGAATCTTGATGCAATACATAGAAGAATTGGGCAACTGTGATATTGTTATTTACGTTACTCTTATTACTTCATAGGATGTAACCTATTTATAAATCTAAACTATCCAGAGCATTTGACATAAAGTTGGACTTTTTTCTTCTATCAACTCCATTTGAATACTGTGCTTCATTACATCCAGGATCAAATATACAGCTTAAAAATAAGCCCATGGAGAGAATAAGGGTATAGTCAGAGTGTTAAAACTCTGCCAGATTCTCAACCCCTGAAGTATCATTGGCACAAGCCAGGATTCCTCTGAAAAAAGGACTGCTTATGTTCAGACACTTGAGTCATCTTCATTGCTCTCACATAATGTAAATTCCATGCAGGAGAGTTGCTCTTACATGCAGTGTTTACAGTAATGGTTTAGTTTGTACTTGATAGAGACAGTGGCAAGTATTCTTTTTTTCATAACCCCTAAGAGTAGACCAGAATTCATCTCCTTCATTTTTGTATAGCCCTTTTGCTAGCTTTCTGCATTCACATTTTAACTGTGCACATTTCTAACTGGGTACCTACAATCATTACACCACCAAGTGCTGCGTGAAACTCTAGAGGATTTAAGTTCACAAAGAAACTGAGCTTGAATTGGCCACCTAAGTGATGACATTGCTAGAAGTGTGTTCTGTTCTAATCAATGGGCTTCTCACACTTCAGTTGCCTCTGGTAATTGTTTATTAATTCTACATGGATTAAACTGTATCTCTGCCTTTGGATCGCCACTCTCAACCAAAAAAAACCCACCAACACCAGAAAACAAAATGTCAGCTTGGCTGCGTATAGTTCCTTTGCAATGCTTTCAATGAAGAAAGGCTTGAAATTAAATATGAATATCTGCTTATAGAGCTATATAAAATGTTTCCTTTTTTCCTTCCTTGCCTATTATACTTTGTTCTATTATTATTAACTTAAACTTGATAATCCTTTAGTTAAAATTTGTTGCACTGTTGGTAATGATGCTGCAATGTGATTTAGCATTAATAGACAAACATCTAACTAGTAGGTTCTCATGTAAGTTATAATTTAAATCTAGTTTTAGAGAAATTCCTTTGCTGCATTCCTTAAGCTTCATTTGTTTTCATAACTCCACATTCTAGTCTCCAAGCCACCAATAAACACTATGCCAATTAAAACAAACAATAATTAAATCTGTTCTGGGGCAGGGTTGTTTTGATTACTTTTCTACAATATTTGGAGTACCTCTTAAGAGGCATCCCACTAAAATGTTCCTCTTTTTTATGATAGACGCCCAGAGTTACTTATAAAGGGCAACTCTGGTGAATGTCCTTTAACAAAATCCCTTGTTTTCCCACATACATGCGCCTTTCATTTTTAACTTGTGCCCAACTTATAATTTCTGTTTAGATACTTTGACATGTCAATATTCAGTGGCTTTGCTTAGGTATTGTCAGTAAACTGACTTAAGAATTTCAAGCAATATTTATATGTCAAAGCCTTGTTTTAGAGATGAATGATTTGCTCCAAAACAGTGACACTGAACATTGATGGAGTCAGGGGGGTCAAGGTTTCCTCACAGTCATGTAATATGCCTTAGAAATATTGGTGAGGGGAAGTTTTTTCAAAATATCCATGAATTTACTTATGAATTACTGATATGTGCTCAATGAGAAAAAAGGTGAGCAAGTGCCATTCTAAGCAAACTAAAAGACAAAATTATAGTCACAGGTATCAAGATGGAGTCCCACCATAAAGAAATATTCATGAAAAGAGGACATCCATGTCTCAGATTGGACAAACCCAGACAGCATCCCTTCTGAACTCATTTAAATAGCTTAAGAGAAAAGGAAGCTAGCAGTAACAGCATGTTAATATTTCCTAGGTGCGAATATATGAAGAAGACTTCAAAAAGGAGCGATCAGACCGAGAAAGACTTAATCAAGAAAAAGAGGAGCTACAGCAAATTATTCAGACTTCTCAATCCCAGTTGAACAGGCTGAATTCTCAGGTATAAGTTCAAATAAGCTTTGCCAGCACATATGTATTTTATATTTATTTTCTCATTAAAAAATCAAGACATTTAGACTTCTGTTAATGGCCATTTCTATTTTTTTTTTGAGAGATTAGCATCTGGGATGAAATCAGTTGTAAACAATTTTGTAAAGAGATGAAAATGACTGGAGATTCCTTTTAACTTAAGTATATTAAGGAGTTATCCAAGAAATTGGATTCCAAAGTCTTTTACAAAATCCAATTCTTTTGATCTTTTTTCTCATAATATTTATCTTGGTAGAATGAGAGTTGGAACTAAATAGCACTTAAATTCAAAGCTGAAACACTCCAATACATTGAAGTTGTTTCTAAATTCTTACCATTTTTCTTTGAAGGACTACATTGGAATGTTCCTATCTTCCAAAAACATGCATAATGAATGTCATTTATATATCTAGTGAGACTAAGAATTTTGTTCAGTGGGTTCCCAGATTTAATGTAACTGGAGCGCTCTCAAGGAAGCCAGATAATGTAAGCCACTTTATTAGAACAGAATATTAACTATAAGCATGCTAAAATTAAGTGCAATAAATTTATTAAACGTAGACTCAAGAAGTTGCCATAATGGGTAAATATTGATGTTAACGAGGGAAATATAGCTAACACAATTTAGGCTTAAGAAAAGAAAAGGAACCACCAAATTTTTAATTTGCAAAATTATGCAATGTGTTTCAATAAATAGGAAATCATTGTGAGACATGCTTGACAGCTCCATAAGCTCAATATTCTTAGTCTCAGAGGAGGTTTTAAACTTTTTGTCATACTCTTCTTCCTAATACAAAGTAGACTGTGAAATAAATTCAGTTTCTTCTTTGACATCTTTTTTAAGGATTAACTTTAAATTCCTAATTTCACATGGAAAATTATTTGGAACAACCGTTTCCTTTCTAAGAAATTGGAAGAAATAAAATAATGGTAAAAACATAATAAAAATGCTTTTTCCGAAAGTAGTTCATGCAACCTACTTTTACAACAATGGGTGAAAAATGTTCTGATTGTTCTTAGAAAATTGCTCTCAATTTTTATGTCTTACATGCAAAACTGTCTTACTTTCTTTGAACTTGTCACTGCACAGATCATTTTACTTCCTGCTGTATTTTAATTTTATTCATTCTACTACATTAAATAAGATTGATGATAAGTATTTACCTAAATTGGCAATGTTCTTCCCATTATAGAAACTCTAGTACAGCTAGAAACACACAATCATCTAGTTATGTTATAGACTATAATCCACAGTCATTTTCTGTGTCATCTGTAATTTTTGTTTGATATCAACAAAATGAATGTGTTGTCTAATCACAGTGCTGTATAACTGTGCTTATGAACTAAAGGAGGATCTTAGTAATATGTTAAAATTACCAAAATTTTCTTTATAATGATACTGCAAGCCTTTATTCTTCTCATTTATTCAGGTAAAAGTATGATAGAATTCACAACATGTAATAGATGGTGTAACAATCTGTGTTAAATGTATTAACAGCAGATTAAATGCCATAATATAATAGAGTACTTATTTGAGTAGTATATTACCTGTGGTCCAAACGGACCACTTGACCAAAGGAATTTTTAGGTCAAATCAATCTGGTCCTAGTTGCTTACATACCAGAGTGTATTTCCTCCTATCACTGAGGACAGTGATTCCTCCTATCATTTAAGGCAATGATTGGTAAAAAATAGTCAGTGTGGCAAAGTGAAAGATACTTAGGAGAAATCTAAGGATAAAAAAGTCTGATGTTCATGCCTGCTTTAACAGTTGGTGAGGACCTTGAGTAAATATTGAATTTTTTTCTGTACTTCCTTTTCTCCATCTGTAAAATGATAAAATTGAATTATATGATCTCTAAAATGTTTCATATAACTCCAAAACTTCTGCCTATAAAATAAGTTGCTTGACTTCTCTCACCATATACGTGCTAAGTCGCTTCAGTTGTGTCCGATTCTTGGTGACCCTGTGGGCTGTAGCCCGCCAGGCTCCTCTGTCCATGTCTGATCGAGGCAAGAATACGAGAGTGGGTTGCCATGCTTTCCTCTGTGGAATCTTCCCAACCCAAGGATCAAATCTGAGTCCCTTTAGTCTCCTGCATTAGCAGGCAGGTTCTTTACCACCACCATACTCACCTGTAAAATATGATACTTGCCTTATGACTTCACAAGGTTATTCTCAGGATTAAGTGAAAAAAAAACAAAACCTATTCAAAAACATCCAGCCCAAGTCGTGGCTCACAGGTATTTCATAAATAGTTTATTGGAAGGAAGAATTTATGATAGTTTCATTTAGTTTTATAATTAGCCTGCCACATTCAGTGCCTCATGATATCTAATTTTGATGCTTTCTTTCGGCAAGGCATTCTGCTATATGCTGTGAAGGAACTAAAAAATAATCCATGCTATGAAAAGTCCCACAGTATAGTAAGGGGAACTCAGACAGTCCGTCCTCATCATTTGCAGGTTCCAATTTTGTGAATTCACCTACTCACTAAAATGTATTTGTCACTCCAAAATCAATTCTTGGACCATGTTTAAGTTCATTTGTGAACTTGCAGAGAGCAGCAAAATACTTGAGCCTCCTAACACATTTATTCCCAGTGGAAGTCCAAAAGGTGTTGCTGCCTTCTTTCAGCTCTCATACTGTAAAAAGTGTTCTTTTCATGGTCTATTTAGTGCCACATTTTTCACATTTCTGAGCTTTTTGTTGGCAATTTCATTTTTTAATGGCCCTCAAGCTAGTGCTGAAGTGCTACCCAGTGTTCCTAAGTGCAGAAAGGCTGCAAACTGCCTAATGGAGAAGATATGTGTCAGATAAGCTTCATTCAGGGATGAATATAGTGCTACTGTTTATGGATCTATAATACTTACTAAATTTCATGGCAAGTAGATGGGGAAACAATGGGAACAGTGACAGACTTTATTTTCTTCACCTCCAAACTCACTGCAAATTTCATGCAGACATGAAATTAAAAGACCCTTGCTCCTTGGAAGAAAAACAATGACAAACCCGGGCAGCATATGAAAAAGCAGAGACATTACTTTGCCTACAAAGGTCCATATAGTCAAAGCTATGGTTTTTCCAGTAGTCATGTACAGATGTGAGAGCTGGACAATAAAAAAAAGCCTGAGTGCCGAAGAATTGATGCTTTTGAACTGTGGTGCTGGGAAGACTCTTGAGAATCCCTTGGACTGCAAGTATTGACAGTAGTCAATACCAAAGGAAATCAACCCTGAATATTCTTCGGAAGGACTGATACTGAAGCTGAAGCTCCAATACTTTGGCCACCTGATGTGAAGAGTTGACTAATTGGAAAAGACCCTGATGCTGGGACAGATTGAAGGTGGGAGGAGAAGGGGATAACAGAGGATGAGATGGTTGGATGGCATCACTGACTCAATGGATATGAGTTTGAGCAAGCTCCAGGAGATGGTGAAGGACAGGGAAGCCTGGCATGCTGCAGTCCATGGGGTCCCAAAGAGTCAGACACGACTGAGTGACTGAACACCAAATAAGGTATCTTTAACAGAAACACACATAAAACAAGATTATATATTGACTGATTAACAAAAATGGCAAGACCAGAGGCTGGTAGGAACCTAAGCCTGCATTTCCCTGGGAGCAATGATTCAGTGTTTACTACTTCCAGTGTTCATGGTTACTTTATAGAATATAACTAAAAAATAAATAAATAAATAAGAAGAATATAACTGCTTTGAATCATGAGAATCGACTGAACATAGTACACACTGGAGTACAAAAAGCCATGTAATAAATGTAAGACCCTATATGGGAGGACCAAAGGAGAGAATCTTTAATTCAGTTTTCTGTTGATGGGCAGGGCCGTGGATTAAACATTTACTGAGCATGGCCCCGCCCATCAGAACAAGACCCAGTTTCCCCCTCAGTCAGTCTCTCCCATCAGAAAGCTTCCATAAGCCTCTTATCCTTCTCCATCAGAGGGCAGACAGAATGAAAACCATAGTCACAGAAAACTAACCAATCTGATCACATGGACCACAGCCATGTCTAACTCTGTGAAACTAGGAGCCATGCTCTGTAGGGCCACCCAAGACAGATGGGTCATGGTGGAGAGTTCTGACAAAACGTGGTTCACTGGAGAAGGGAATGGCAAACCACCTCAGTATTCTTGCCTTGAGAACCCCATGAACAGTATGAAAATGGAAAAAGATAAGACACTGAAAGATGAACTCCCCAGGTTGGTAGGTGCCCAGTATGCTACTGGAGATCAGTGGAGAAGTAACTCCAGAAAGAATGAAGAGATGGAGCCAAAGCAACAACACCACCCAGTTGTGGATGGAAGTAAAGTGATGGAAGTAAAGTGATGGAAGTAAAGTGATGGAAGTAAAGTCCGATGCTGTAAAGAGCAATATTGCATAGGAACCTGGAACGTTAGGTCCATGAATTAAGGCAAATTGGAAGTGGTCAAACAGGAGATGGCAAGAGTGAACATCGACATCTTAGAAATCAGCAAACTAAAATGGACTGGAATGAGTGAATTTAACTCAGATGCTCATTATATCTACTGCTGTGGGCAAGAATACATTAGAAGAAATGGAGTAGCCATCATAGTCAACTAAAGAGTCCAAAATGCAGTACTTGGATGCAATCTCAAAAACGAGAGAATGACCTCTGTTTATTTCCAAGGCAAACCATTCAATATCACAGTAATCCAAGTCTATGCCCCAACCAGCAATGCTGAAAAAGCTGACATTGAGTGGTCCTATGAAGACATACAAGACCTTCTAGAACTAACACCCAAAAAAGATGTCCTTTCATTATAGGGGACTGGAATGAGAAAGTAGGAAGTCAAGAAGTACCTGAAGTAACAGGTAAGTTTCGCCTTGGAGTAGAGAAGGAAGCAGGGCAAAGACTAATGGAATTTTGCCAAGAGAACACACTGGTCATAGCAAACACCCTCTTCCAACAACACAAGAGAAGACTCTACATATGGACATCACCAGATGGTCAATACTGAAATCAGATTGATTACATGCTTTGCAGCCAAAGATGGAGAAGCTCAATAAAGTCAGCAAAAACAAGACTGGGAGCTCACTGTGGCTCAGATCGTGTACTCCTTATTGCCAAATTCAGACTTAAATTTAGGAAAGTAGGGAAAACCACTAGACCATTCAGGCATGACCTATATCAAATCCCTTACAATTATACAGTGGAAGTGAGAAATAGAATCACAGGACTAGATCTGATAGGCAGAGTGCCTGATGAACTATGGACAGAGGTTCATGACATTGTACAGGAGGCAGGGATCAAGACCATCCCCCAAAAAAAGAAATGCAAAAAGGCAAAATGGCTGTCTGAGGAGGCCTTACAAGTAGCTGAGAAAAGAGAAGTGAAAGGCAAAGGAGAAAAGGAAAGATATACCCATTTGAATGCAGAGTTCCAAAGAATAGCAAGGAGAGATAAGAAAGTCTTCCGAAGTGTCCAATGCAAAGAAATAGAGGAAAACAACAGAATGGGAGAGACTAGAGATCCCTTCAAGAAAATTAGAGATACAAAGGGGATATTTCATGCAAATATGAGCACAATAAAGGGCAGAAATGTACCTGACAGAGCAGAAGATATTAAGAAGAGGTGGCAAGAACACACAGAAGAACTACACAAAATATCTTAAAGACCCAAAAACCACAATGGTGTAATCACTCACCTAGAGACAGACAAGTAGGCATTAGTAAGTATAACTATGAACAAAGCTAGTTGAGATGATGGCATTCCAGGTTAGCTATTTCAAATCCTAAAAGATGATGCTGTTAAAGGATTATGCTCAATATGCCAGAAAATTTGGAAAACTCAGCAGTGGTACAGGACTGGAAAATATCAGTTTTTGTTTCAATCCCAAAGAAAGGCACTGCCAAAGAATATTCAAACTACCACACAATTGCACTTATTTCACATACTAATAAGGTAACGCTCAAAATTCTCCAAGCTAGGCTTCAACAGTACATGGACCGAGCAATTCCAGATACTGAAGCTGAATTTAGAAAGACAGACGAACCAGAGATCAAATTGCCAGCATCTCTTGGATCATAGAGAAAGCAAGAGAATTCCAGAAAAACATCTACCTCTGCTTGAACATTGACTACGCTAAAGTCTTTGACTATGTGGATCAAATTAATCTGGGGAAAATTCTTCAAAAGATGGGAATACCAGATCACCTAACCTGCCTTCTGAGAAGGCTGTATGCAGGTCAAGAAGCAACAGTTAGAACTAGACATGGAACAACAGACTGGTTCAAAATTGGGAAAGGAGTACATCAAGGTTGTATATTGTCACCCTGCTTATTTAACTTCTATGCATAGTACATCATGTGAAATGCCAGGTTGGGTGAAGCACAAGGTGGAATTAAGATTGCTGGGAGAAATATCAATAACCTCATATATTCAGATGATATCACCCTTATGACAGAAAGCAAAGAGGAACTAAAGAGCCTCTTGATGAAAGTGAAAGAAGAGAGTGAAAAAGCTGGCTTAAAACTCAGCATTCAAAAAATGAAGATCATAGCATCTGGTTCCATCACTTCTTGGCAAATAGATGGGGAAACAATGAAAACAGTGACAGACTTTATTTTCTTGGGCTCCAAAATCACTGCAGATGATGACTGCATCCATGAAATTAAAAGATGCTTGCTCCCTGGAAGAAAAGCTATGACAAACCTAGACAACATATTAAAAAGCAGAGACATAGCTTTTCTGACAGAAGTCTATATAGTCAAAGCTATGGTTTTTGCAGTAGCCATGTATGGATGTGAGAGTTGGACCATAAAGAAGGCTGAATGTTGAAGAATTGATGCTTTTGAACTATGGTGTTGGAGAAGACTCTTGAGAGTCCCTTGGACTGCAAGGAGATCCAACCAGTCCATCCTAAAGGAGATCAGTCCTGGGTGTTCATTGGAAGGACTGATGCTGAAGCTGAAACTCCAATACTTTGGCCACCTGATATAAAGAACTGACTCATTTGCAAAGACCCTGATGCTGGAAAAGATTGAGGGCAGGAGGAGAAGGGGATGACAGAGGATGAGGTGGTTGGATGGCATCACTGACTCAATGGACATGAGTTTGAGTAGACTCCAGGTGTTGGTGATGGGCAGGGAGGCCTGGCGTGCTGCAGTCCATGGGATCACAAAGAGTTAGACATGACTGAGAGACTGAACTGAACTGAACTGAAAGGAGAGAATAATGCCATAGGTGGGACTTGGAAAGGTATCATGGGGCTCAAATGGTAAAGTATCCACCTGCAGTGCAGGAGACCTGGGTTCAGTCCCAGGGTTGGGAAGACCCTCTCAAGAAGAGAATGGCTATCCGTTCCAATATTCTTGCCTGGAAATTTCCAGGGGTAGAGGAGCCTGGTGGGCTTTAGTCGATGATCTCGCAAACAATCGGACATAACTGAGTGGCTAACACTTTCACTTCAGGGATGACAACAGCATGACTAAGGAGTGCAAGAAAAACCAGCTTTCCTTAGATGTGTCAGATGTTGGGAGAACTCAGGGGAGGTGACTCTGCCAGATGAAGTATAATAGTGTGACTTTGAACAAGTTACTCAGCATCTCACACCTCAGTGACCTCTTCTGTAAAATAGGAGTAATAATTTTAAGTGTCATTTAGGGGTATTGGAGGCTTGAATGTGAGTTTTTAAGTGTAAAGCACTTAGATCAGTGTCTGGCATGTATTAAGTGCGTATGCAACTTCTAAAATTTATTGTGGAAGCTTTTGACTATACAGTTGACTGTACAATTACATTTAATAAGCAGTAGAAGCTATTTCTATACCCACATCTATGTCTCTATCTGCATCCACACCTAGAGCTAAATACATCAACCTAAAACAGAATTGCAGTGGTCCCAATAATTGGGAATAACAATTTTAAAATATCCAACTTTGCAAACTTCATTTGGATATTTCATGATAGAACCAATTTATGCCTGGAAAATCCAAAACTCAACTATTTTTATTGGCATTATTGTTATCAGGGCTTCACCCCCTGGATTTCTGAGCAGATCCCTGCCAACTGGGCCAGGAGTTGCTTTAAGACATCTGCTCTTTCTGATACACAAATGCTTTCATCTTGTCCACAGATAAAAGCTTGTCAGATGGAGAAAGAAAAACTAGAGAGGCAAGTAAAACAGGTATGTTGATCCTTACTCACAACTTTCTTGTCACGTTAGCAATGCCAAGTCTGAGTTTTACTCACATTTATTCCCCAATTAAAGGGGTCCCAATTAATTGGGTCCCAATTAAAGGCAAATTCTTGTTCTGCGACAGAGGTCCTAGGACAACTCAAGCTTTTCATTATCAGCTGAAATGTCAGTGGAGAGATAGTACTTAGGTACCAAGGCCTCTCGACCCTAACACTCAGGAAAAGTACATGCTTTACAGAATATGTTTCAACAGGAGCACACACCTTAGTGTGGGTTCATGCAGATAGAAGTTTCTTCATAGACTACAAATACCTGAGAAATATATTTCCTTGATAGTTCATACAGTTGCTTACACCAACAGTGGAAAACTACATGAAAGACTTCTTCTGCCTTCTTTTGAGAAAGAATATCTTCTTGGGCATTAGAGCATTCCATTCCATTGATTCTCTAGTAGACTTAGGAATGAATATTATTTCTCTTAATTCCTAATTTCCTCTCCTGACATTAGTTATGCCATTGGAGTCTCTGGCTACAGTTTAAGAAAATTTGTTTTATGACTTAAATATTGGTTCTTCTTAAGTGAGGATTCTGTGAAGATAACTCAGAAACATGAAGTTAACTCTATATACATTTTCAAGTATTTTTAGTATCTTCAACATGGAAAGATAACTATAGTTTCACTTTGAATAATTGGCCTGTGGCTTCATCTATCTCTGTATCTGCATTGACAGACCTCCTGTCTTGAATTTGGATTATGCCAGATTTAGGCTAAACCTTAAGATTTCAACCAAACCTCAGGGCTGTATAAAGCAAGGGTCAGTGTGACTCCCTAGGGGGCATCTGCTTTCAGTGAACTAACAGCATTCTTCTCCTCAGATGTATTTCCCAACCTGTAACTGTGGCTGGAATTTCCACCTGAGGGATCCATACCTACTGATGGACCCTGGGGCTGTGCAGGTCCCACAGAAGCACCCAGTAAGTAGGAGCTTTCATTCCAACAATTAAGTGCTTATGTCTCTAATAAGAGCTAATACTCTCTTTTGGTAGAAATGATGTCTGTCTCTGGAATACTGGCACATATTATTTTCTACATAAAGAGCCTTATTTATCTTAGCCTTTGATTTGCACAGTTACAGTGGTCAATGTACACTCTAAGTATCTTTGAAACCCTGCATCTACAGGACATATAGATATGAATACATTCACTGAAAGGTATCAAATTGAGCTAAAATTCCATGAACAAACATACCATTTGATATGGGTCATTTTTAATGACACACCTGACTCTGCCAAAGAAGACATTTCTGTGTATAAAGAAAAGCAAAATGAACATAACAAAACAGTCTGGGAGATGCCTTTTTCAGTTGTAAACTTATATTCAACTACTGTGAATATGGTTACATCTATGCAAAATAGTCTTTGACATTTTCCAATTGAAAGGGTATTCTTAAAGGATTCAAGAAAAAGTGACCCACTTAAGTTGCTTTCTATGGCTGTGTCTACCCAGGCAAAATGAAGTGAACAGTGAGGCAATTATTTGTGAGTGGAATTGATTTGAACAGTCAACCTGAATAAGTCAGACCCAAAACACCCTCCCTTTCCTTCTCAATGGCGGTATTCCACCCACCCTCCCCCATGGTCTGGAAATTTGTCTCTATTCTCTACTTTGCCTACATAGAATCATTATGCAGGAAATAAATCATGCATTTTTCTTCATTTTGGATTGGCTCAGACAGTCTCTTTTCCCTTAGTTATTATTAACCATATTTCTGATTATGCAAAGAATCTGAAACTTTAACTGGGATTTTCCTAGGAGAACAGTCAAGGAGTGCAGAGTTGCCTGAAACTTCTCACACTTTTGTATTTGAATGTGACTCAAAAGCCCTTTTCCAAGAGAGGAGATAATTACTCTTTGGGTGGCAGCAGGATGTCAGGATTTAATGAGCACCTCTTATTTGACCCTGGTGTGACACAGTGCACAGACGAGAATTTGGTTCTTTTTGTGTTGCTGTTGATTGCTGATTCTGTCTGCTCTCCCCACTCCATTTTTTTTCTTTACCTGTTTACTTACTTTTTTCTTTTCATTAGAAACACTTCTGGGGATCTCCAAACACAGCTATCATTCTAAAATTTTTTTTCCCGAATATAGAAGGAAATTAATATTTTGGGAAACATAAAGAGATAAAAATTTACTAAGGAGTTTAGTTGTCTACAGGTTAGGGAATTGGGGGGAATTGCTCTTGTAAGTTAACTAGAAAACCAATGAGTCTTTCAAATTTGCCTGGAAGTAAAAATGACTGTTTACTTCAAATCTTCAAGAAGGCAGAAATTCACCAACTTGAGTTTTTTCTACCAATTATAAGCAATAAGGCAGTCCAGATCACATAAAATTGTCACCAGATAAAGGTCTGTATTTGAAACCAGACTCCAAGTCATGTAATGGCTATATTTTCAAGCAGTATTCAGTTAGACAAAATGTCAGTATAAGGATAAAAATTACAGAAACTCCTAGAGTTCATTTTAAAAGAAATATTTCATGTTTCATGCTTATTTCTAAGCCTGAATTAAAGTCCATGCAGTAGTGTTTGTAAAATTATGATATATTCACCTTCTTTTGGCAGCTGTCCTAGAATATAAAACTGAGGCTCACGTCACTTATCCAGTGTTATTTGAGACATCTAAAAATAAATGAGGAGATGAAAAACAGAGATGATCTCATATCCTCTTTTAGTTTTTCATGTACCAAAAGGAGCCAAGAGCCTAGGTGTCTGAGTGAAGGTAAAGAGGAGTCAGGCTGCCCCAGATCCAGTATTTCTTAGCGTCTTGTCAGGAATTGAAATTTTAGGCTACTTTTAGTGGTCTGGCAGCCCTGTAAAATGCTCCCTATTGGCTGGTTGTTAGAAAAAAATGTTCCTGAGTTATTTTCAGGTGGTAATTGAATAATAGAACAAAAGCTTTATATTCACTATGTCTTGGGGAGACAGGTAGAGGAGCAGGAAGACAGACCAGCCTCCTGGGTGGGTAAAGCTGAGACCACTCTGTTCTAAGTGGGTAAATACAGATATTCTGGCCTTGGACCTATATTTTGAAATTCAGGTCTATAGTTTATATTTTGTTTGTCTGCGCTCAGTCATGTCCGACCCTTTGCAACCCCGTGGGCTATAGACACCAGGCTTCTCTGTCCGTGTAATTTTCCCAGCAAGAACACTGGAGTGGGTTGCCATTTCCTCCTCCAGGGGATCTTCCCAACCCAGGGATCAAACCCACATCTCCTGCATCTCCTGAATTGGCAAGCAGATTCTATACTACTTGATCCACCTAGGAAGCCCATAGTTTATATTTATTTCAACACAATTCATTTGACAGTTTTCCTGAGGTTCAATATCTAGCTGTTCTTAATTGGCGTACATCTAGGAGAAATCCCAAGAGAAGAATCCCAGTGTGCCCTGTCTTCTCACTGCCTCTCTAGTCTAAACTATCTAAGCAACTTAGGACAGTTTCTGCAGAGGAACAGTACAAAAGGAAAGTTTTTTCCCTGCTTTAGCATCCTGAGCCTCTTTAAGCCATGTCCTCCTGGCTGAGATTTCCTCCTTGGACCACTGGAAGACATTCAACTTGTACATTTTTGTCTTGAGTCTTCCTGTTACCTCCTGTGCGAGGGTTTTAAAAAAGAGCATTTGTTGATGATAAATTCTTTTGTTTTATTTATGGGCTATAGTAAGTTTTTACAAATGTGTTTATACTTCTGCACATATTCAAAACACATCTGTTTCAAAAAAAAAAAGTCAAAATCCCAAATTCTGACTGAACACTAAGTGGATTTAGGAGGGGGGTGGGTAGGGAGATGGTAACAGTGATCAGGGAGATAAGAGGACAACAGGTTTGGGTAGCAACTACTTTTGTGTTGCCTGGGTAATAAAGCCACAAAAGATAGCTATATCTTTAATGTGCCGCTGTGTTTGGTTTGCAGCCCATATTGCTATAATAATGTTTTATTGTTCCACACAGCCAGACTACCAGTGGTATGCTCCTGACCAGTTTCCGCCAGATGTGCAGCACAAGGCAAATGGTAAGACCACAGCTGGATTGAGCATTCTTTCATGTTTACATTTTAATAGGATCTTTGGGGGGATGTTTACTCTACATGCATTCACTTGGACTTGGGGAGGAGCCCTTATAATGTTGTGTTGCATACACAACTCTAATGTGATGCGCCTGGAGTTAAATCAAACTCCTTTAGAAAAAGAAAATGCTCAAGTGCAGAAATGCATGGCTCTCAGTCCTGACTTCTGTTCCTATTCTGTCTCAGAGTCAGTATTCCATCTGGGGTTAGAGATTCCAGCAGGGCTCTGTTATAACAACAGCAGCAAAGTTCCGTGATTCTGCTCCAAAGTTCAGACACACATCACTCTTTCATGTTGAGGTTGCTAGACAGACGTTTCAAGTGTCACTGGCAGACAGAGGAAACCAAAAGCTCAGGGCCATGTTCCCTAATGATTAAATGTCAGACTCCAAGTTTAGGCCAGAGTTGCCCACAACACCCACTCTTAAGTGTGCTGGACAACAGTAAAAAGTCACTTGCAAAGTGCTCACAAATAAGAATACTCTTTTGTCTTATTTTTCTCTGGTTTATCACGCTCCTCTTTCTTTTCAGAACCTGCTAGACATTCTGTTGGTTGATTCTCTGCTCTCGTGAGGCCACCCAGAAGTGGGCTGCATAAACTGGGCTATAATCATAATCCCACTTCTGTTCCCATCACATGCAAGCAGAAGTCAGCATGTCTGCTACATGCTTAAAAAATCCCACGTGACACACACCTGTAGCTCTTTAAGTTGTTAGTGTCCAGATATTGGAATCTATCTAGAAAAGCTGAAAATGAGCCATATTCCAGTTTTAGGCCATGCTTGAAATGTTTTCTCCTTTAGTTCATATCTGAAGTCACAGAATTCTAGTTTCTAGTACAAGGAGTCCAGTATGGAGTGGAAGTAGGGGGCCAGGGATGCCATATGTAGTTTCTCCTGTTGGAAACGTCACAAGTCCAGGGGCTTTTCATGGTAGTCTACATAAATGGAGCTTCCTACAGTTGTGCAGTACACAGCCTTGACAGCTGTACACAGAAGCAGTGGGAGTGGCAAAGGCCACAACTAGCAGTAGCATTATGGAGAAGAAAGATAAAAAGTGAGAACTGTATAATAAAATATCTATATATTTATCAAAAGACTGTAGTACTTTCTTTTTTCTTTTCTACTACTAATAGAACCATTGGCTTTAATAAAGTTGTTGGGTTCAAGTCTTAATGGAGAGCTTTTAATTGAAAGGCATGCTATTAACCATAATGGTTGTTGCATAATCTCTATGTTTTTGAAATCCATTATTATACAATAGCTGAGTTGCCACCCAATTATAATTTCCCATTTTATATTATATTGATCTGGAATGAATATTAAAGATATTTTCTCTTGAGTTGGCATTTAATCACTAGACAGCAAATTATACAGTAGAAAATTCAATAATATCATAAAGCCATTTATACATCACTATTGTATTCATCTTGGACCAATATCATAGAACCTAATAACTATATAAAACAGGAATGAATTATGATGACCTTCAGAAACTAAATAATAAGCAAATATATAGTTTTATAGTCCGTGTGTGAGACCTACTGATTTTTGTCTATTTGTTAAAAAATATAGAGCTTTGTGATGTAAAGCATGTTGTGCAACATGGTCTACAGATGCAAAATTACAATAAAAAAGTTAGCCTTTATTATGTAGCAACCTGAGTACTTTTAAAACATTGTTTTAATCTTCACAGCAATGCTATAAAGTGACCATTTTACAGATGAGGAAACTGATTAGGAAGATTTAGCCCTGGAATTAGATTTCAGGTATATTAAGACTTCAAAACCTGTGCTTTGAATCACATCCTATAGTGCCCTTGAAAACCTACCTCTCTCACTATATTAAAAATTTTCTAAAATGATATATATAAAAATGACAGTTGGGGTCTTATCTTGGATAGTTATGGGACTAGTACCTAACCCTCAATAATCTCCTCTTTCTAGGAAGTCATAGCATGTATTATCTGTGCTTCTCATTTGACACTTAGATTGTCACAGGTAAAAGATATAGTACTAACTATGTAAGAATGTGCGTAGTCGCTCAGTTGTGTCCGACTCTTTGCAACCCCACGGACTGTAGCCCACCAGGCTCCTCTGTCCATGTGGATTCTCCAGGCAAGAATACTGGAGTGGGTTGCCATGCCCTCCTCCAGGGGATCTTTGCAACCCAGGGATCGAACCCAGGTCTCTCACATTGTAGGCAGACTGAGCCACCAGGGAAGCCCACGTAAGAATAAGTGTGTAATAAATGTGTCATGAGCAGTCCTGGTGGAAACTGAAGGGATATTACCATTTGAAACCTGACCTCCATACCAACACAGCTCTGCACAACACAACTGTGGCTTGGCCATAGCAGGGGAAGGGACTGATCATGACTAGAGCACCATCATAGAGAGAAACTCCTTACTTAAAAATCTACCTGCTCCTCTTCTAGTTCCAAAGCTGATGCTATTTCCAAGGTCAAGCAAGGTCATGAGTCTTGGCAGAAGCTCTGAAATCACGCTGTCACAGACATTGCATGTACCATTAATTAATTTCAGTAGGGATTCTTGTTAGTTTTTGTTTCATTTAATTGGAAAGCTCCTTTTGCTTTGTAGATCCAACACAATTGCTCAGAATTCTTAAAAATAATTTTGTGGTATTGTTTTTAAAATATAGGTTTAAAAATCTTTTTATTATAAAGATATTTCCATTGTCTCATTACATGACTGATATATTTATTCTCCACTATTCAAGAATATAGTGCTAGTCAATATGGCCTGTGTTTGGGGCCATAAATATCAAAATTCAAGCAGTGGAAAGAAAATTGAGTAGAATAATGAGGCTCTGATTTTGATAATCTATAAACAGAAACTATTTCTGAAAATTGCTCTAAGTTTTACTCATATAATAAATACTTTAAATATTTTATTTTTAAATAAAAAAGATCCTTTTAAAAATATGGATATTTAAATTAATGTTAATTAGTACATGCGCTTTATAGATTGTCCTAGTTCTCGGTTTTTATTAATTTCCTACAACTCATGACAAATCTATTTTTCTGACCCCAATATATGTAGGATATTTTTATCTTAGCATCTTCCTTTGTGATTCCTCTTATTATAATTTAACCTGAAATAGTGACTCTGATTTTTACACTTAGAGCAGTAGCCTTCTGATTTTTCAAAGGTATAGTGGGTGCAAAAGAAAGTGAAAGTGAAGTCGCTCAGTCGTGTCCGACTCTTTGTGACCTGTGGACTGTAGTTGGCCAGGCTCCTCCGTCCATGGGATTCTCCAGGCTAGAATACTGAAGTGGATATAGGGTTATCGTTACCATCTTTCTAAATTCCATATATATGTGTTAGTATACTGTAATGGTCTTTATCTTTCTGGCTTACTTCGCTCTGTATAATGGGCTCCAGTTTCA